CGCTGCTTCGTTTCCACAATTGTTTGCAGGAGAGTAGGCCACATGTGGTCACGGCAACTCACAGGACTCCTTATTTCTCTTTACGGACGCCTGCTACGAACCCGGCGCTGCTTGGTGCGCGGGGCTGGGTGCCGTGGTCTTCGGACCCAAAGGTGAGTGCTTGGGATTCTTCTCCATGTGTGTTGGTGAGCAAGTGCGGAAGAAGCTTGGTGAGGGTATGAAAAAGACAATCATCTTCGAGCTAGAATTCTTAGCCCTACTTGTATCGTTGATACACTGGAAAGACCTTTTCCGAAACCGGCCGCTTGTGTGTTACCTGGACAACAACACTTCGAGAGATGTGTGCATCTCGGGTCGGGGCAAGAGCGTCATAGCGAAGGCCCTTGCAACGGCTTTGCTCTCGCTGGAAGATGCAGGAGAGATTAGGACGTGGTTCTCTAGGGTTCCATCGCCTTCAAACATCGCCGACAAACCGTCCCGCGAGCTTTGTGAATTTCTTGAAATCAATGGAGCCACGATTGTCGCTGACGACGCCTCTCAGGCGCTTCGTGACTGCGTTAGTTTCCTTGGCTGAATCACTTGTGGACACTCTAGGTTAAAAGGGGGAAGTAGCTTGCAGTGTAGCACGCCGCCCGGCTGTGCTCCTTCAGGAAGCTTGCTCTGCTCACGACAGCCAGCTTAGTTGCAACCGCGCCTACTTGTGCAGCTCCTGCTGCTGTGTCACTCAAACCTTTTGCAGTGCGGCAGCCTTGCCGTCTCCGTGTGTACCGCACAAACTTGCACTCGCAACGCGAGTGCTAACCGACTTGTCGCCCAAAGTCACCACGTGAAAAGAGTGAGACCTTCTGAGCTTCGCGAGTTTGGTTTAGGGTTTAGTTACGTTGCTCTGTGCCCTTCGCCCAACCCTAACCTGCAGCAGTTTGGCTCGAGGTGGCTCTAACTTGAACAGTTAAGCGTGTTGGCAGCGCTCCGCTGCTAGCGCCTTAAATGTGAAAGTTTCTTCTGCATTCTTTTACCGGTGTAAGGAAAAGAATTTGGCCACCTCGAGTTTTGTAAGTTTCCACCTTTTTGGGCTGCTTGCCTTTTTGGGCAGGTTATACTTCGCAGATTGCAGCTTGCGTCTTGTTCAAAGGACTCTTCAGCCATCCGCTGCCTGTTGGCTTCAAGCTTGAGACAGGCATTGCATGTTACTGCATGAAACAGCAATGCTCTCATGACATCGGTGTTGCACTTGCAAAAAAATTTTTTTTTTTAGTTCCCGCCCACCCGCCCTGACTGGGGGAAGTAGCTTGCAGTGTAGCACGCCGCCCGGCTGTGCTCCTTCAGGAAGCTTGCTCTGCTCACGACAGCCAGCTTAGTTGCAACCGCGCCTACTTGTGCAGCTCCTGCTGCTGTGTCACTCAAACCTTTTGCAGTGCGGCAGCCTTGCCGTCTCCGTGTGTACCGCACAAACTTGCACTCGCAACGCGAGTGCTAACAGACTTGTCGCCCAAAGTCACCACGTGAAAAGAGTGAGACCTTCTGAGCTTCGCGAGTTTGGTTTAGGGTTTAGTTACGTTGCTCTGTGCCCTTCGCCCAACCCTAACCTGCAGCAGTTTGGCTCGAGGTGGCTCTAACTTGAACAGTTAATGCAGTGCCCTACTCCCTACACAGGTACTGCTGCTGGTGGTATGCCGACTAATCGATCGGCCACAGGACTACCCGCGCTTGGAGGTGATTGGAGCCTTCCGGGACAGCGACGAGCAAGCCGCTGACGAAGGTCGTCAGGGTCAGCTCGGGGTACGGTTAGCAGCCACATTCTCGGCGGAAGAAATCTGCCCGCTGCAACTGCAAATAGGGGCCCGGATACGACATAATTGGGAGAATGGCGTGGTTGCGCTCCACCATCCCTGTGTGAACCCGGACATCTTCACTCATCCAGCGATTTACCAGGGACGTTTTCGTATTTACCTCCCGCTTTCCGAGGAGGCCCTGGGGCTCAAACCGGCGGCGGAACTCAGTCTGCAGCCTGCTGGTCTACTGTCCAGCGCCTTGGCCAGGGTTAGACAATGGACGCGCCGCGATGGTTACGACGACCTTCGTGCTGCGTTGGCAGTCTGGCTGCCTGGGCCCAAGCGGATCACCATGTGCTACCCCGAACGCTTTTATTTGCTGGGAAGTCATACCGAAAAGGGCCGGCATGCGGAGATCATTAGACGGAACTTCGCGGACGTTCCCATGGGCCGCCCCGGCAAGTACCCGCCCCACACCCTCGGACAAGATCTACGTATTGATGACTGGGTTGCTGCTGCCAGGCAGTTCGTAGCCCTGGGTGGATTGGCTGGTGGTCTCAATTATAAGTTTTTGGGCCCCAGACTGGTTCCCAATTACCACAAAAACTCGCCCGCGTACTACTACGATGCTCAGAAGCTGAAAAAACGCCAAGACGCGGGCGACTGGACATTATCTCTACAGTCTCAATGACGTCCATATGGGTGACCCTGCTCACTTTCGCAGGGTCCTTTGGGAGCTTGCCGTGCATTATTGGGGACGGCGTGCTCCGCATGTCCACCTTGCACTCAGGGGATGAGGCGCCCAGGGTACCCGGATCCAGCGCAGTCATGGGACGCTGTCCGGCTCAGATCTTTTGCCCTGTCCTGGCCATTCGGCTACGGGCGTGCACCCACACTAGCTGCCTGGTTCGTAGTTTTGCCATGGCCGCTCTGCCGGAGCATCTTGCTGCGCCAGTAGTCCTTAGAGCTACGGTCCAGGCAATACCAGTGCTCTTTGGAGCCCTGCCGTCTGCTGCCACCAGGCAGGTAATGCGTGCCATTGGATCTCAGGAGCGCAGAGCAGCCGCCCAGGTGCTCAGGCAGCTATACGCGGAATTTCACAGTCGGGTTACCGCCTATACTTGGCGACGCTCAACCTTCATAGCTTCCAAGCATCGAATGACTTCCAAGTGGCGGTGCGACTCGGAGTTCAAATACGCACCACTATTGTGCAGCTTGACCTGGAGCCCGTTATTATCGTCGCCTCCGTGTCCCGTTCGGCATACAGAGTGGTCAGTTCTCTCTACCGGGGGGCAGAGTTCGTACGCATGGTTGACTTGCAAGCTGCGCTTATTGAGCTGCAACCCTGGTCATTTGCGTGCCCGGCCCTGTGGGGGGTACCCTATTTCTCCATGGAGCCAGTGTGCGCGCTGCCGCTTACGCGGCTACGGCTGCCGATATAGGGACGCAACACTGCGAATCTTCGATCCTTGCGCTTCTTAGTCATCCCTCGGCGCCCGCCTTGTAGGGAGTTAGACTCCTATGGCGGCTCTGCCTGTTGGTCCAAGTCGGCCTGCATCTCCCAGTTGACCGCGGGTCCAAGACAGACTCTGCTGCCGTGCCTACTCGCGTGGTGCCCTTGCGATTCACACCTTGTGGGAAGCTGGGCATAGCCGCTCCACGGTCCCTGCTCGATCCGGGAGGTGACTTCACCCGGGATCCCACACCGGGACCAACGGAGATCGCTGGTTCCTACGTTGCAATTCCTTGGCGAGGTGTCTGACACGACCTGCGGTTGCCGGCGAGCATCGTCGTCCTCACAAACCCTCTGGTGCGACAACCCCGCAACGGAGCCCATTGGGTGAGTGCACAGCCATTACATCATGACATCGAGGCCATGGCTGGACTTGGTTGCAATACTACATCGTCTGTGGCCCTTGCGACATTGTGGGAAGCTGGGCAGTGCCGTTCCTTACTCTGGCTTAACCTCGGCGATGCCCCTTTTTGGGAAGCTAAAATTGGTTGAAAAAGCGGGTCGGCTCCGGCTGTCTCTCTGTATTGACGGTTTCGGTTCAGGGCATCTTGACCGTCAGGTCCAGGCTAACCTTCCTCCTGCCACACTGGTTCTGGAAGGTTGCCGGGCGGCGCTGCGCAACTCGTGTCTTACGATAGGCCCTTGCGATACCCTCTCGTGGGAAGCTGGGCCTATCAGGTTGCACTGTTGTGACTCATTTGATCAACCACTACGATGTTTGCACTGAGAAGCCATGTCCGGCGGACAATGGACCACGACGCAGCTTGATGCGATGCGCTCTTGTAGTGTGCCCTTGCGACACCCTTGTGGTAAGCTGGGCTGGACCGCTTTGCCCTATCCATTGGCCCTTGCGATCCCCTTCCTTGGGAAGCTGGGTCTATTTGGCTTTGCGACATTCGCATTGAGAAGCCATATCTGGCTGTCAGCTGCACTGACCCAACTTGTTGCGAAGCGTTCTCGCACTATGCCCTTGCGATACCCGTGTGGTAAGCTAGGCTGGACCGCTTTAACATTCTGGGTTGGCTCTGCAAGGTTCATCCATGGGAAGCAGGGCCTTGTTGGCTTACTGCGCTCTACTGTGATGGTCTGCCTCGGCGCGGCCTCTTGTTACTTCGCGGACGCTGGTTTCTCCTCAAAACCTACGGGTCGGGGAACTGGGATTCTCCAGTTTGGCACCCAGGTTTGGGGCGGTGCATTTGCATTTTTGCTCGGCCCTGACACAATCTTGGATGCTCATGTTCTTCCAGCTTGTTTCATCGGAGAAGGCCACCTGAGACGCGCTTTATAGAAGGTCGAACGATCCCTGCTGGCTAAGTCCGCAACTCGCGACCTGTTTCACCGCACTAGAATCTTTTGTATAGTTCTTCTTCGTCTTCTTGTTTCATTCTTTTCTTACTGGGACCGAGTGCTACAGCGTGTAGTCGACGAGGCCCGCCCACGCCAAAAAAAAAACCTTAGGGCGCCAGCCCTGTGCGCGGGACGCTCCGCCCTACCAGGGGCGTCTCACCCTCCGACTGCGGGATGCCCCGCGGGAGGTGCTTTCTCAAACCCCTACCTCTAAGGGGGGTGCGAGATTTTTGTAGGCCACACTAGGAAACCCTAGGAAGTAGCTGTACAGTGTAGAGAGAAGAGGGTTTGAGCTAAAGGGCTTTAACCTGACTGCGACTCACCGCAGCCCTCTTTGCTTAGTGCAGAAAAAGAGCCCATACGCGACCCTACCTCCGCGGCCCTGGCGTGACCCGTTCCTGCCCCGAGTCTCCGTAGAGCGACGAGGCAGCGTCCTCGCGTGCCAGAGCCTCCGAACCCGGGTGGACCTTTTGAGTAGACCCTAAACCCCGCCGAGACTTCTGAGCAGGGCCCGCAGGGCCCTTAGTGACAGGTAGCCTGGAGCCGAGAGCCCTCCTGCAACTGAGGTTTCAACCACTTAGACAGGCTTCAGCCAGGACGGAGGTCCGACCCCGAACCCACGTCCTGAGAAAAGTCCTCAGAGTCCGAGGGAGACAGCGTGCACTGGACCCCTTGTCCTTCAGAGTAGCCTCAGACGAGGCTTCAGCAGCCGTTAGGCCGCCCAACCGTACCGGCCGAAGCCAGTGCGAAAGCGAAGAGCTACAGACTGAAGCCTCCTCGACATCCGCTTGCTTTCGTTTGCCGCCGCCATGATAGGGGATGTACTCGCCCTCAGCAGTGCGGGCCAGCTCTGACCACGTGGAAGGGATATCAGCATCATGCGCCAAAGTGGTGAAATGCTCATCCATAAGATAAAGGCAGATGGGCCTGCCCTTGACCGAGGTGGGAGGCGCCACCCGCGACATGAACTTCCACTGTCCAGCCATGTGCTTCCAAACGATGACGTCGCACTCCAGCACCCGAGAGGCGGCGTAGACCAAGTAGTGGTCCGTCCACTTAGTGCGACGCAGGACCGAAGCCAAGTAGTCGTGAGGCGTGGTAGCAACTTCTCCGCCTTCCGTGAGAGCAGTAGCCCCCGGATCTTGGCTCCAGGCCTCGCGCCAGCCCTTGCGCCCATCCATCCAGAAGTGCAGCTTTTCCGCGAAGACTCTGAGCCAGCTTTTCTGCCTTCTCCGCGGCCTGAGCAGGGTCCATCCCGTTGCGAAGCGCCTGAGTGACCGCCAGACATCGAAGGCCGCAGTCGCCACCATTGCTGCCGTGATCCCGCAGAGGAACTCCGTGCGGACCTTGCCCCTGACCAATCTCCGGTTTGGCCATCTGGCTTTAGGAGCCTGCCGATGCTGCTCCTGAGCCGGCGCTTGAGCGGGCCGCTTGGCTCCCTGGCCCTCCATATGCTCGTCGCCAGTCGCATCACCGTCGTCGTCAACGCCAGCGCCCGCGTCGATGTCCGTGGTGCCAGCCGCTTCGCCGAGAGCAGCAGCATCGCCGGCCTCCTGGGCCTTGCGAGTGCCCGAAAGCGAGGCCCAGCCTTTGGAGACCCTCAAGGGAGCAACCTCAGGTTTAGGAAGGGACCTTTTCCACGGAACAATGACAATCGATTTGCCTTCCAGGCTAAGGACAAAACAGTCCTCCGAGCGGCCCTCAGGCCGCGCTGCTGCGAAGGTCCAGACCCCGCCCGGACGGGCGGGCGGTTGCAGATCCGCAACGACACGCCAAGCCTGGGCATCCAGCATACGTCTGAACTGCGTCGGGCTCCAGTGTCGCGGCACTGACTTGGCAGCCCACCGCAAGCGCAGACTGCTAGACTCTGCAACGGTGGTGGTGGTGCCTTCTCCTCCGATTCCAAGACTAGCCCGCCCCCCGCGGCGAAACGCGAGAGGGGCGGCGGCCGCCGCCGCCTGCTTCTGAGCTGTTTGCAGATAAACTTCTGCAGTGACCTTGTCATCCCTAGGCAGCCACCGTACGCCCGAGGGCGCTGGCGCGTTCTTGTTTCTGACAGCAGAAAAGAAGACACCTCTCTCTCCAGACGCCTGCAGCACCTGGTCACACGCTTGGCTCGGAAAGAGTCCCTGAGAGTGCCGCAACACAGGCCTGTCTCCACTCTCCAGTGTGGAGCTGTACCCACTTGTGGCTCCAGCCCTCCGGAAGAGGAGCTGGAAGGTCAAAACACACCAAAGCAAACAGACAACTAATGCTATGTGTGCTTGCAATGACCTTAAGCTTGCAAGCCTCGGCGTAAGAGGTAAGCAAAATGTCCGCATCAGGAGCATTTCCAGCATCAAGAGCGCGACCAACCTTGGCAAGAGACCCAACCCTGCCCGGCCACCAGACCTGGTTGAGCTTGGGAGGGGGAACCGCAGGTTTGGCCGAAGCCTTGCCCCCCCCTTAGACTGAGGCCCACCAGTGTTTTTGGGGGGTTTAGGGGCGACAAGAGGGGACTTGTCACCCTTCCCTTTGCCCTTACCCTGGCCGGGGCGGCTAGCCGGAGGCTGCAACGGAGGCGGGGGGGCATGACTCGCGGGATGGCGTGACCCGTTGAGGATGCCGCGCAACTTGCCAATGATGCCCTGTGCCCCGTGGCTCTGGCAGTCAACTATGAGCTGCTGCAACTGACGTATAGTCTCAGCTTCAGTATAGGTCTGTCGCTAGCTTCAAGCCGGACTGTGCGTGGCGGCTGGTCCTGAGCAACCGCGGAGTTGCCGCCTTTAGGCCGCCGGCGACGCTGAGTCTGCCAGGGCTCTTCCTCCTGCTCGTCCTGGTCGAGGTCCTCAAGACGAGAGAAGAGAGCCTGGAGCCCTTCCAAAAGAAACTTCTCCTGGCGCTGTCGTTTGGTAACCTGAGACCCTCCAGGCCCCGGGTTAGCTGCTTCCCCAACCTGGCAACCGACAGTTGGGTCCCAACAAACGTGGGCGTTGGCCCATGCTAGGGCCCAAGCCTGCACGACAGTGACCCAGCCACTACTGACAGTCTCCTTCGCACTTGACCCGTTGAGGGCCAGACCCAAGAGGCTTACGCCTGCAAGCAGCACTAGAGTCCTGCCCAGGCCCCCAACTCGTCTCTGAGCCGAGTCCCGAGCTGACGGCCCTTCGACAGGACAGCTCAGTTCAGGGCTCTCAGCACTGGGAGCGTCACTGGCCCTCAACGGACTGAGAGGCAAACGTCCCTGGGCCCACCTCTCTCGTCTAGCGAGGCGCATTCGCGCCGCACGTAGTCTACAACGCACCCTGGGCCGAGCACGCCGCTGGTAGTGACCGTGTCCGAGGCTCACTCTCCGACACGGCCAACACGGCACGTGAGTTAGAAAAGGTACGTGCTTACGTGAACTCCTACGTTTCCGACGAGCAGCCTGCCTACGAAGCTTCAGGCGCTTCCAAAACGACCTAAAAGCCACGTGGCCACTCCTGTGCTTCACACCACACTTAACATTGCATCGTACCGCCTGCTGTAACCTATGAAGGACTGGGCAAACGGCACAACACAAAAGGAAACCAAAACTGGGCCCAAAGAGAGCCAAAGCAAGCCAGGCACACCCTTGGTTAAGGCAAGGCGCACCCAAGACCCGCGAGTTAAAAACCCGACCTTGAAGGTCGGAGCCAGTGAAGTTGCCGGCGAAGCCACCCATGAGGTCCTCAAAGTCCAGAGTGTCCCTCAAGGAGCCATTCGAGCTGATGCATTGCCTATCTTCGTCAGAGAGCAATCCATAACCAGTAACGGGGCTGACCAAACCTTCCACGAACACGAGGCTTGCAGCGTCCGCGCCGGCCATGGCGACACACGCACCGTGGCGAGGGGAGCCCCGAGGGCTACCGTTTAGTGCATCCAAGGGGCGAAGAGCATCCGCAGGAGCAGAAGCAAAGCAGAAGCACAGGCAAAGACCAACCCACCCGCGGCCTAAACCAAAGGACCGAGCAGGCTGCCTGAAGCATTTTTGCTTTCAAGGGGACCAACCGAAGTTTCAGGGAAACCCAGGCCGATACAGGTCTTGTCACCTTGATTCGGCTCTTGATTCATTTCTTCATTGCTTCTTTTTTGAAACTTCTCAGCCTCCAGGGCCAAAATCCTCCATGCTCTGTCCGCAGACCCGCATCCACCACGTGGAGGTCAGAGCAGGGTTGCAACCATTTAGGCGAGGGCTGCTTGGTGCCGCCGTGACGTCCGAGCCAAGCACTTTTCGCAGGATCGGACCCTCAGAGCACGGACTCGGCGAGCTGCTCCAGGCTGGCATCACGCGTTCTTTCTGTGCTGAGTTGCAAGGCCATTTAGCAATACCATGCGTAGCAAGGCTTAGACACAAGCAGCTTGCAGGCACACGTCGGTACAGGTGCTGGCGTGAGGGATTCGTAGACATGCGAGATCATTTCCTTTTTTCTGTGGCCCAAGGCATGTCATGGCTGATCCAGCCCAGTCGTTACTTTTCCACGGCTGCAGCGCGACTTATGTTGAACAAAGGCAGAGCTGAAGCTAGTAATTAAACCTGGAATCGAAAACGAAAGAACGGCGAAATATCAACAGTCAAACCAAAGCTACCAGTGCTCATCGATCCATCTCTCTGCATCTTCCCTTCGAAGGAGATTTTCTCGTTTCCGAAAACACTTGCGTCTGTTCCACATTGGAAAGATTGCACCGCGAACAATCCGCGAGCAACACGACGGTCTCCGAAGCCATGTGGGGCGTGTTGATTTTGGGGTATGGGGTCTTCAAGTCATTCCGAGGAGCGCAAATTGGGAGACTCTGCCCTGAATGGTGCTAGAATGCTAGAATGCGTGGCATTGAGATCTTCGGCATAGGGATGCTGACTGGTGAGCCTTGGCACAGTGCCGGGAACAACAGAAAGCCAACCAGGACAGGTTAAACTCAATACCTAGTGCATGCGTCAAGAAGCCAGTCCTGTCCTGCAAATACTCCGTCAGTCCTGCAATGGCAGGGGAGGTTTTTGTACTTTGTTCGTTTAGCTCAGGCGTGTGTTACGGTCCCTTTGTTCCTACGAAGCAGCAACCCTGTAACACAAGGGGGCATCTTGCCCTGGTTGAGGTTCACCCATCAGGCCCAGATGCACTGCGACGCAGAGCTTCTTTTCCGTTTGAGCGGCAAGCCTGTGGTAGGGGTTTCTTCAAGCCCCCGGGTTTCTTGATTCGGTGTTTTTGGACGGAGATAACAAGCGAAGAGTGATCGAGGAGAGCAAGATACAAAGAAATCGGCACGCCGAGGTCAGGGTACCCTGATTTTCACCTTTCAGTTTGCACCTTGTCTCATTTTTTGTCGCAGGACTGTCCGGGGCTCAAAATATCTTGAACCGAATGGTTTCTTGGGCAAGCTAAGAAGCCAACAAGCCCAAAGCCACACTCGGAGGCCGCATGATTCTTTCCATCACTCGAGTCCGAGCGCACGCTGGCAAGAAGCCCGGGGCTCGGGGGAAGTGAACTCTGAAGACCGTCACTCATAGCGACTCAAACCTTGTCAGGTCGTGTCGTTGTAAAAGAATCCTGCATGTGTTCTGGCACCAAGCTGCACAAGTAAAGGAGAGCAGTTCTCATCATCACAGTCATTGCTGATGCAACGGTGCATGCTGCTGCGCTCGGCAACACCTGCGTGTCATGCGATCGTTGATATCGGAAGCACCTTGGAACGTTTGTCACGCATCTATATAAGTCTTAGTCCTCAGACGTCCTGGCATGTCGTGGGTGGTGTTAGCTGCTGGAAGAATGAGTAGCATCTTGATCGGTGAAAGAACCCACGTGTAGCATCTTGATTTTGGGCCTGGGGGTACTGATGCAATCTGATGCATGCGCTTTTGTAGGAGTACTTTCCCGCCTTCAAACTGGCAAGTTCCATTGCGAAATAACGACGGATTCTTCGATTGATCATGATTAGCCAGTGTGCGGACTTGGCAGGTTTCAAGCATGATGTTGCGAACTATGGAATGGAATCCTGCCAAGCATGCGCAATATTGCACGAGCTCTAGCAAATCTGTCCGGTTTGTTTGCCCTAACTTTCCTGAGTTTCTTCTCAAGTTGCCTAACGCACATGCCACATGAGATTCTGACAGAGTTCGATATACTTCACATAGCTTTAGGTTCTCTGTTTTTCCATCTGCGCTGGCGGCGCGGCGAACCTAAGATCTGCTTGCCGCAGCACATGCAAAAATCGAGAGTTGACTGGGCCAAGGAGAGCCGTTGCGCTCGCAGCGCGAGGGCCAGGAACTTTGCGTCCAGAAGGCTGCCGCAGGTTCGCTCCTGCCGCACCACTAAGATCTGCTTTCAATCTTGTGTGTCTTCTTAACGGAGGCTTCCGATGCACCGACTGCGGCCTGGGGCCTGCGCCGACCTTATCTTGGAGAGACAGTGGCAAGTCATGGCAATGGCAAGTCCATGTCGAAATTATTGTTTCTTGTGGCTGTGTGCAGTTTGCACATAATACGCGGAAAATCACTGAAGAGGCGAAGCTGCATGTCCGTATCAGACGGCGCCTGCACTGCTTTCGAAGTTCATATTATAGCTCTCAATGTCACGGGAGCTTGTGGGCGTTGTCCGGAAGGAACCGGCTGAGAAGACCACTAATGAGGACTAAAAGGCACGTACTTGGTAGCAGGAGTCAAAGAGCGGGGCCCCGTACGTTGGACACTTATCCACTGGACGGTGCTCGGCGTGGTAAGGGTGTGGCAGGCCTTCCTGTTGTGGTTTGCGCCGGGAACACCTCGACAGCGTCCGTTTGTTTTCGATTTCGGCGGGAGTTCATCGTTTGTCTCTGGTGCGGTATGCTGAAAAGTTTGACTACTCCTTTCGTGTTGCAGTTCGAGATAGAGACCCTGCACCAGCGCTCGTTTGATTTTCCATCCGGTACCATCCCCGTTGCGGCTTTGCAAGCTCCGTACATTCCATCGTCAGGCTGTATCCTGGTTGCTGAACATGAGAGTTGGCTGCGGCCTTAGAGGCATACCGCTATTTGGAGTGACGTCATGTGACAGATCTGATTGCAAGAGCTCATGTTTCAGCACTGCGGCTCAGAAAGAGACAGCGCTTCAAGAGCCATGAAGCGGGCATTCGGAGAGGAGACTGGGAAAGCTCCGGCATCGGACATGCAGGAAGCAGCAGGCAGCGCAGTCCGGCTGCACGACGAGACTGCTAATGCGCTCCTGCAGAAGTTGTTGTGCAATGCAGAGTTCCAGCAACTGGCAAAGCATTTGCTGGGGGCCGCGGACGGCGGGCTAACCCGAGCGAAAGTCTCAAAGCCGAATACTGCGGACGTCTGCGGCCAGGCTTCAGAATATACAAGGTTCAGGCTCCGTTGCATGAGATTCAGATCCACTTGCTGAACGGGAGATCTGGCGGCAATCCCCTTCTCAAAGCACCTCATGCAAGCAAGAAGCTGAAGATGTTACCAGAAACTGGGGAGGAACAGAAGCCGCTGCGCCAACTGACCATGCAGATATCGAGCTCGAGTCAAACACCTCATCTGGGAAAAACAACGTCGGAGCGAAGAATGGGACAGCCCCGGCAATGCCGGGGATCCAGGAAGAGGAAGGAGCGGAAGGCTCGGCAGGCATCCGGGTGTATGAGGAGAGTGTTGACTCGCTCCTGCAGAAGCTGCGCAATGAGCAGTTCCAGCAAATCGCAAAGCAATTGCTGCACAAAAAAGCCATGAGGCTCGACAACGTGCTGCCGAGAATGGCGGTGGAAGTATTCCTGCAAAGGTACTCGAATTCTGAGCGTGCCGACCATTACTTCAAGCACGAACAGACACGTCAAGGTGTTATTGCGACGCTGGTGACGCCGTCCTTCTTTGGTTCAAGTTTTCGGGGTCCTGCCATGTACACGCAGACTCAAGCCGAAATATCCGCTTGCCAGCTCTTCGTGACGGATAAATACGTTCTCGAGGCTGCTGAGTGGCTACCGCCTCCAATGGAGACCATTCGTAAGCTTGTTGCCTTCAGCAAACACCAGAAACAAGCGGTTCGTGAGAGGGGCTATGACACCACCGTGGTTCAGCGCGACCTGCTTAACTGTGTGTATGCAGGTTTTCGATCGCTCGGCCCTGGGTTTGCTTTAGCGTTTGCCCCTAACAGCGTCCAATGACCCCATCCCATTGCCCGAACCGTAACAATAACAATGTCCACTCCGCTCCCATTTCTTTACCAGAGCACCCGTGTCGGAACCGTAATAACGTCCACTACCCCTACCATGACCGGGGCAGAACCGGACCTGAACCGGGGCGTGTCCGAAACGCTCTCTCAGAGAGGCTGCGGAGACCGGGGTGGCAAGTGCAAATGCCAGTCTGTTTGTTGCATCGTAACTTTTCATTCAGCTCGTGATGTCTTGACGTGTTCTGGGAATCCGTGCTACAGGTCGACGGCGTCTCCGACAGCATGAAGGCCGTGCCGTCTTGCCGGCCTCTTGCCGCCCTGTGGCCCATGCTTCTGTGCTTCGGCAGGGCGCAGGAAGTGGAGCCTGCGAGCAAGCTGCCGATCACCGACGAGCTCTACGACAAGTGCCGCAGCGCCGGCCAGAAGGAGGTGCGATCGAATCCAAGCCGCAACGCCGGCAGGAAGTGCGTCTGTGAGGCTGGTGAGACCGCGAAAGCTACGGCCGTCGAGGTGGCATCCCAACTCACTTGGGCAAGTGTGAGCTGCCTTCTGTGTCCCTTTGGCAGGCAACAGTGACGCTGCAAAGGGCATTGCGGGACGTAATCGTATCGGAGTAGAGCGATTCGGAGCGTCCGCCAGACTCGGCTGTCACCGGTCCTTCACACGGTGTGGATCTGAAGCCCGACCCTCAAAGGACAGCTTAATGTATCCATGGCCGATTGGCATCGGCACATCAGGAAAGGATTGCTGCCCACAGGCACTGGCCTTGAACGAAAGAGTGCAGGAGAGTCGCAAGCCGTGTGTTGGTTCCGCTATCCGCTCAAGGAGCGGCCTCTGTGCTTATTGCGGGATTGGCAACGCCTGCTGCAAGAGGCCAGTCTCTTGAGGTACAGGGCTGTGACCAAGTTCGCATCCTACTGAGTGAGATCCGGAGCGCCAACAGCGATCGGCTTTTGATTTTTTGCTTGCACAATGCTCGGAATTTCGTATTTCGCGGCTTGGCATTTGGGCTTTGATGTCGAACTCTTGTTTCTGATTGGGGACAAACGGAGGGTTCAAGCTTTGCATGGAAGGGCCGAGCTGAGTGCAAGTGCGCCGAAGTTCGCAGCTTGCAATCCCAACGATGTCGAAACAGAAGGCCATGTTTCGATGTCCTTCCAGACCGGCAAGAGGTCCAAACGTTCACTGCGGGGGGGATGATCAAGCTGGTGTTCTAAGCTTCGCCGCAAATTTGCCGCGGGGGGCGGGGGGATGCGCGTGCATGCAGCGGTCAGGATTGGCAGTTGTTGAGTGTGAGCACACACACGTCCGTGGTTCTGCTGCAGTGAGCGGTGCATTCTGGCACGTGGTGCATGCACTGCGTCAGTTTGCAGGGAAGGGGGGTCACTTGTGTCTTTTTTTTGGGGTTCACTTGTGTCTTTCTTTTTGGGGTCACTTGTGTCTTTTATTTGCTTCGGAAGCAACAGTCTCGAACGAGAGGTGCCTTGGTAGGACCTGACCCCGAAAGAAACCCTGATGAAACAAGGCCCTACCCCTAAGAGGGGTAAACCCAGAACGAAACCCTATTGAAAGAAGGCCCAACCCCTAAGAGGAGTAATCGGCCCAACCCCTAAGAGGAGTAAACCCAGAACGAAACCCTAATGAAAGAAGGCCCAACCCCTAAGAGGAGTAAACCCAGAACGAAACCCTAAAAGAGTCAACCCGGAACGAAGCCCAACCCCTAAGAGGAGTAAACCCAGAACGAAACCCTAAAAAAAGTAAGCCCCGAACGAAACCTTAATGAAAGAAGGCCCAACCCCTAAGAAGAAGAAACCCAGAACGAAACCCTAAAAGGAGGAAGCCCAGAACGAAACCCTAATGAAAGAAGGCCCAACCCGTAAGAGGAGTAAACCCAGAACGAAACCCTAAAAGGAGTAAACCCAGAACGAAACCCTAATGAAAGAAGGCCCAACCCCTAAGAGGAGTAAACCCAGAACGAAACCCTGAAAGGAGTAAACCCAGAACGAAACCCTAATGAAAGAAGGCCCAACCCCTAAGAGGAGTAAACCCAGAACGAAACCCTAAAGGAGTAAACCCAGAATGAAACCCTAATGAAAGAAGGCTCAACCCCTAAGAGGAGTAATCGGCCCAACCCCTAAGAGGAGTAAACCCAGAACGAAACCCTAACAAGAGTAAGCCCAGAACGAAACCCTAATGAAAGAAGGCCCAAGCCCTAAGAGGAGTAAACCCAGAACGAAACCCTAAAGGAGTAAACCCAGAACGAAGCCCAATTCCTAAGAGGAGTAAACCCAGAACGAAACCCTAAAAGGAGTAAACCCAGAACGAAACCCTAATGAAAGAAGGCCCAACCCCTAAGAAGAGTAAACCCAGAACGAAACTTTAAAAGGAGTAAACCCAGAACGAAACCCTATATTTTGAAAGGAGTAAACCCAGAACGAAACCCTAATGAAAGAAGGCCCAGCCCCTAAGAGGAGTAAACCCAGAACGAAACCCAAAAAGAGTAAACCCAGAACGAAACCCTAATGAAAGAAGGCCTAACCCCTAAGAGGAGTAAACCCAGAACGAAACCCTGAAAGGAGTAAACCCAGAACGAAATCTTCATGAAAGAAGGCCCAACCCCTAAGAGGAGTAAACCCAGAACGAAACCCTAATGAAAGAAGGCCCAAGCCCTAAGAGGAGTAAACCCAGAACGAAACCCTAAAAGGAGTAAACTGTATATGTTAGTTGCATGTGTTTACGTGTACGTATATGTTTACATATAGGTATACGTATATGCGTACAAGGTGTAGTATACAATAAATATCTACACATGTTTAGACACCCCCTCGTAGAGTACGCATGCATGTCTATGTGCATGTGGGCGCAGAAAGGGAGCAAGCTAATTGCCTTCGCACTTTATGTATACCGAGCCTGAAACTGAGCGGGGTGAGGTCCTACCAAGGCACCTCTCGTTCGAGACTGTTGCTTCCGAAGAAGGAAAAAAACAGAAGCGACCCCGAAAACAAAGACAGAAGCGACCCCCAAAAAAAGACACAAGTGAACCCCCAAAAAAAGACAGAAGTGATCGGGCACCCTTTCAGTTTGCAGTAACTCACTTTGGTACACGACAGTCTACGACGAGTAGAATCGTACAACTGCTTTCAGTCGACTCTCTCCAGGCAGACACAATTGACTGCATCAATGCTGGCAAGACATCAAGTGAGCTCGATAGCACCGAATGGGTTAAACTGAATTTACGCCGGCAGATGAATGACTATGCATACCTGGCCGTTTGCTGGAAAGGACTACTGTGGGCAATGCTTCTGATATGGAGTCATGTATACACACGTTGTGTGTGTGTGAAGCGAAATCATGCGGATACTCAGAATGGGCTTCTGGGTGTTCATTACAGGGCGTATGAGACATCTGCAGAAGAAAATAATGCTTGCGAACAAAAGCAGACGATGGCAGGGAGGATTCTCAGCCAGATGAAACTCTTTGCAGCGGAGGCACCGGGAGCCTCGAGCACCCGCAGGTCGATAGGACTCGCAGCCGGCTGCAGCGCGTGTAAGTCGAAGGCCTTTGGGTTTTGAATATCATGATGTTGATTGTTTCTGAATGCAGTTTCTAATCTTGATACGGCCTCCCCGACTGTTTTGAGTTTGCCGCTGATGAAAACAAGTCTGTAAATAAGCACAAGGCTGGCTCTGGTCCTGTTGCAGTCTTTCCACTCTGAAGCAAGCTTTCGTGAACATGAAGCCTCGAGGGCAAAAGGAAAGTATGCTGACGCTGCGCGGCGTTTCCGTAATGGTGATTCATACAGCCGCCGGGAGGCACAACTTATTCTCGATGGCAGAGTCAGAAATTCTACAGAAAAATTAAGTTTACATCATGGTCACGGACCTCCCAGCCTGTGCCGACAGCCAGCATCCTTTTGGGAGTTTGAGCCCTTGGCGTTGTGTGCTCCTTGCCACGACCCCCAGACTTGGAACCAGCTGACTGCAGGCTGAAAAGAAGACCAACTTGCGAGTCGCGATCAAGGTGAAACTTCATTCTTGCATCAGCCATGAACTGGAATGCATCGTGCAAGTGAAATTTTCTGAAAGCATTCCTCTCCTCCCTCTCCTCCCCGTCCTGCCCTCTCCTCCCCTCTCCTCTCCTCCCTTCTCCGTCTCCTCCCATTCCTACCTCTCCTCGCTCTCCTCTCCTGCCTCTCCTCGCTCTCCCTGTCTACCCCTGTCCCCCTGAGAAATTTGCGTCTGTTATTATCATCCGTGGTGACGATCCTCACTTGTTTTTGCTGAATGTAGTACTTGAATTGACTAACATGTGTAATACCACAGGCTTCAGTCTTTTCACATGACAGTACTCGCCGCAGACGTCTTGAGCGCAAGATCAAAATTCGGCTATTTGAGCGAGGGTGTGCATTCAGCTACCTGGCTCCAGTTGCTAACTGGTAGCGGAGCAGGTAAAGGCCCCCGTTGCTAACCTCGTTTCACCCCTGAGAGCCGCGTCCAGGGTCCTTTTTGGAAGGTAGCGGTAGGTAGAGGAGCAAAGGCCCCTATCTATCCCGCCATGTCGGTCGCAGGACTACGTTACCAACCTAATCATTGGTCGCAAACCTTAGTGCCTGCCGAGACGAAGTCTGGGTCATACATAAATGATGGCACGCCGCCAGGCTTTCACGACTGGCAATTCCCCGGACACAGATCCGAGTCCTCCAGCACTGCGAGCGACAACGCCGCGAGGTCCTGAAAGACCTGAGGTCTGCCGCCACAGCCAGGTCTCGCAGCGATTCGCCGAGAAAGTGGCGAGGAAAGGCCAGTCAGGGGAGCAGCGTCCACCCAACCGAGTCCAGTAGCGGGATACCCGCTAGCCCTTCGAGTGCGAGAAGGGCCAAGCCTGCATCTGAGCCCGATGAAGACGATGGTGCGGAGTCATTGCCATCTCACCCAAGCCAGATTGAGGGTGAAGAAGAGCAGGCCACAGACCCGGCGTCGTACACTTTGCAGG